TCTTAAAACAACGCAGACAGTTTCATTAAATCCGGTTGGAGATGGCAAGTATTGGCATCACGGTTTTAAACCTTGTATTGAAAAGGCTTTTAGTGGATCCAATAAGCATTACTTACATCTTGATTACAAGAGAAAATATGAGGATCGCTTAGAATGTTGACTTTTTGACAGGTTGCCAAGGTTTTGGTTTTGTTTTGATTCGCTGTACCTAATAAAACCAGCAAGCTAGTTATAGAGCTTAAATACAACTTAACGCTCGCAATTTGGACTACGAAATGCTAAGATACAGCCATTAGTTTTATGTTATGCTATAGAATTCCAATCTAGGAGAATATGTTATATTGAGGTATTTTTAAGGAGTAGCAAGCTAAAACGAAAAAAAAATGTCGCCGTATGAACAAATTTCACACAGAATGAATAATTACGCTTTAATTGATAGGCGATAAAACACTTTCATACATCTATGTATAATTAAATAATATGTAACTGGTTATTGCTCAACAGTAACAGTTTTGTACTAAATAGATAATCTTTTAATGACTCTGTAATGCATGGTGCTAATGTAACCAACTGAAAAATATCCCTATTTTTTAGTATTCAAATGGCGCATTAAATGTATGCTCCTCTTTGGTATAATAATCACCATAAATATTTCACGGCATGCTGTGAAGCATATGCAAATTGGTTTAATATTGTTATAAAGTCGTCTTAATTTTCAATAAACAATAATATCAGCTATTATTACCAACTGACAAGGATCATGATTTCACATCAAACATCGAAAGAATAAAACCACAATAAAATATTTCTCAATCCAAATCCAATCTATCATCCAAAAACCCCAACTTAAAACCTTCAAGGTCATCAAAATGTTTTGCGTATCATGTTTTATCAACTTCTTCAGAAGCGATTTATGTGGTTGTAATATAGTGTTATGGTAGTCATCAAAAGGATGTTAAAACTTTCTGACCTCAAGGAGGTTTTATGTTTTCATTTTTAACAACCACGTGTAGAGTGTGATAAAACTGGCATAAAACCTATGCTCCTAAGGTAGTTTGCATAACAAATTTTAATGATTGCATTAAAACTGGGCCAATTGGCCATGACATGGCTGTAGAGCGGTTCTCAGGAGGTTGTTAAAGCAATGTGATCGTCAGTGAAGGTTTTATAATTTGGTTATATCAACTGCTATAACACTTCAATAAAACAAAAATTGTTGCTTGGGTATTGCCACTTGACTACTGCCTAACCAAGCAAATCGATTAACGTACTCCATTCTAGTTGAAATGTTAGTACTACACTATGTTTGTTTTGATTCGCTATGAAAGTTTGACAGATAAAATTAGGGGTAGCTTTTCCTATGTTTTGAGGGGTGCATCGATTAGCTTAGGACCGAAGAGAGCACCAGAGCTGAGCAAAAAAGTTGAGTGTTTCCTCGGGACCTTCTGGTCTTAGAGTTACCTCTGTGGTACTATCCTCTTACGCTACACGCTATTATGAAACTAACCAAAAATGGGTGGACTCTAACCAGCTCGGTCAAAACTGAACCTAACCAAATTTTGGTAAACCAGTATTTACCCAAATTTGAGTAAACGTGCTTGCAAAGAAATCTGAGTGAAGTTTACCCAGATGATGACATTAGTTATCAGAGTAGACTTTACCCATTTTGATAGAGAGATTATGTGGAACCCATGAAAAACTTTAAAATACTTATAAATAATTTATATAGATCAGCGCAAGAATGACGTACTTGGTTCGAGTGGATGCCAAACTGAACTGGACTTGACCGTAAATCTACTTCACTAGCTTCATCAACCACAACCTTATCAGACGCGTTAGGCTCTTGATGACGGTTTATGATGAAATACGACATTGCAATCACCACCTGTAATGGGGATATCATTTACAACGCTGCATCGTATATTGTGGTACGGTTTCAAATGATTGGTGTACATTGTTTCGCAGTCATTGGGCAGCCAGTAATGCGGCACTGAATGCCGGAATAATTAGTATCCAGAAGACGACGCTTAATGTTTAACACATTATAATATACTTACCAACCAGCTGCTGGTAAATTTCACTACCCAAATTGTTCCGTTGTTGTTCCATTTTGATTGGATTTTAAACAGTAATTATCCAGCAATCACAAATCGTACGCAAAAGTCGATCTTTCAACGCCGCGTCATTTTAACTTTATGCTTTTTTTATAAGCCTCTGTTACCCAGAATCTGGGTAGATTCTACTCATCTACAGAAAACTGATTTACGCAGGTTTTGGCAACTCCATACGTCATTCAAGAATGGGTGCAATCTACCCAATCACTGGGTAGCCTGAGAATAGCGTGTATCCTCTTCAGTGGGGCTTTAGGTAGTGATAAACGTCGCTTGAACTATTTCACAGCCGCAGACAGTACATGAGCAAGTCAAACGCGCACGTTTTTGCCTGTGGATTTGATGAAATACCACAAATCCCTTCATCAATCAGTGTATGAGCTAAGTAAAGGAGTGTGCGTTTGATTAGTACTGTTGCATTAATTGCCCTTCGCTCAATTTCAACTTCTATTCAATTTTCGCACTGCCGTACTCTAGCGGAACTTTCAACCTACCCTCTTCTAAGACCATTCTTAGTTGATTTTAGAGTGGCAGTTCAAACGAACTCTGAAGTATTGTAAATTATATAAGAAAGTAGTGCAGCTTTTAAAAGAATGAAAAATCAATTTCATGAAACTTTTGAATACTGATTTTGAAACGATTTTATCATGCAAATCTCTGTTTGACAAGATAGATTTTTCATGGCATAATATCCTTCGGTGAAATGATTCCTCAGGCAGCTCCGAAGAAAAGTGCGTGAATGAACTTTGAAATAATGGATACACTGGAAATGAATCTAACTCAAGGGGGACGACTCTATGTAAGATGCATGAATTATTTTACTTTGCTGTTGTGAGATGCGCGAACGCTTAGTAGATAGAAAGAGGATTGATGAAGGTTTTAAAGATTTCTTGCAAAAAGGTGGAAAGCGATGCGAGTAGATGGCTTTAGATGCAAAAGATTAAAAACAGATTTTTCGTGGATTGTTTCGTTAGAGATTTTTCGACCATCACAAATTTTGATCTGACTAATATTTGAGTAACGACTCAATTTCACAGAAACCCAGGTCTCTCCTAGAAATAGTCAATTTTTACTGAAATATGAGTAAATGTCACTCATATATGAATAAACGACACACAAATGTGAGTGACATTTGCTTAAATTTGAGTAAAATTTTAGTAATTCCATGAGTGACCTACGCTTTTGCGAATTCGAGTGAAAGGGACTCAAATATGAGTCAGATTCAATAGCCATGTTATTTTTACGAGCTTAGAAATAAGGGTTAGCTAGTAGTACGTTCAGACTACAGAGTTATAACATGTTATAGCACTATCTTGATGGTGGTTTCTGTGTTGCAATTATTTGACAACCGTTATAACATGTTATAACTCTCCAGTCTGGACAGCGTTTAAGTCAGAGCAGGCATCCCACATAAACGCGAACCATAACTTGACCTTAAAAACTGTTTATAATCCCTGCTCAACTTCAACTGAAATCATTATAGAACTTTCCATGTACGTTTGGGTGATAAGGTTTTAACCTTATGTATTATGGTTCTTTGCAAGTGAGCCTTACAAATAATGGGTTGTTAAGAATCATTACCATTCAAAATAGTTGTTTTCTCCATACATTTTCGGAGCTAGGACTACATTAGAACCTTTTTACTTATGGTTTGAGAACTTTAATGGCAATGATTATGGTAGCCAGTAAGGTCCATTAATGGTTTTGTAATATCGGTCAACTTAACGTGGTAATTGGTAATCAGTAATTCACAGGCAACCAATTCGCGATATATTCCACATAAAGTTGATGGATGTTACAAAAACATCTATGAACCTTACCGACTACCATAATTAATAACATTAAAGTCCTCAAATCATAAATAAAATAGTTCAAATATGATTCCTTTCCCAAAAATGTATGGAGAAAACAAGAATTTGGTTCTTAACAACCCGGTTCACTTCCAAAAAACATTACACATAAGGTTAAAGTTTTATCACACAAACGTTCATGTAAAGTTCCGTAGCCATTTCAGTTAAAGTTTAGCAGGGATCATAAACAATTTTCGACCATTTTTGTTAAGGTCAAGTGATGGTTCGCACACCATAAACCGGTGGAAACTAACGATTTTAAATTGGCTCACTACTTGACTAGCTTCTGGTCCCAATTTCATCTATAAGCGTACCCCATTCTAGTCGAAATTCTAGATTTACGCTGTGCTTGTTTTGATTCGCTATGAAAGTTTGACAGATAAAATGAGGGATTCGTGGATTTTCCTATGTTTCGAGGGGTGCACCGATTAGCTTGGGACTGAAGCTAGTACCAGACCTGAGCCAAAAAGTTGAGCACGTTTCTTCGGGACCTTCTGGTCTTAGAGTTGCCTCTATGATACTATTCTGGAGGCAATGGGTTCGATTCCCGGTGCGATGATAATGATGATGATATAACCCACCCACCCATACAAAGGTTTAAGCTGGACGATTTATCTTTAAGATAATTAGGTATGACATTTTAACCAGGTTAGCAAACAATTGGACGATCAAAGAACTTATCAGATTGGAAAACTGCTAAACTTCCCTGGGCAAAGAGCCGATTTGTGCTAGCTACGCATTACACGAATGTGAATATAGTACAGCACAAGTATCAATTTTGGTTTTCTGAAGGTTCAGTAGACCATGATTTAAACTTGCAGAATACTTTAAAACCTCGATAAAACTTGTAATGTTGCTTGGGAGGCTGTAGAAGTGTACAACGAACACTAAGGTGAATTCCAGTTAAGACGTAGTAGCCATGAAGTAAATGGAGTATGGCTACCCAAGTAATCAACAAGCACGCTCTATTTTAACCTTATATTGTTAACAAAGGAAAATTTTCACCGAAATCCACTAACAACCTTCTTTTCTATTTTAGAACATGAACCTGCACCGAGAAGTGGAACAGCTGAAACAGGAAAACATGGAACTTCGTGCCCGTTTATCAAAGTACCAAGAGGTATAATCTTAACTCAACGTCATCCCTAGTTTAATCGTACCACGTCCACCATTACAACCACCACCACCAACAACATCCAACCCAAACAAAAAAAAAATGGAAAAAAGGCAAAACCGTCAACAAAAGTAGCAACAAATATAAAACAGCTGAAAAGCATCAAGAAACCTAAGTTTACCATCACTAAAGTCATCACAACCACCACCACCACCACCACCAGTAGCAGTAGTAGCAGTAGTAGTAACGATAGCAGCAGCAGCAGCAGTGAACAATAGACAACAGCAACGATTTACAAGGCAACTCCAAGCAGCTACACTAGATTGGGCGGCAGCGCTTCAAAGACGACGACTACGACGAAGACGAAGACGACGTGACGTGGAATGCGAGAATGAGACAAAGCGAGAACGAGAGAATTTGAGAGTGAAGTTTTAGTGAAATTCTACCAATAAGGCAAACAAATAAGCGGCATAAATCCGAACAACAGCAAGCATCAGCGAGAGCAGCATCGTTACCAAAAATGAAAGAAAGGAGAAGGACAGAAGCGAGCTAAGCAAATGTACAGAACAAACAAGCAGTGAAGAAGTGCTGGCTTTACCCCTTTTTTAAGTAGAGTTGTTGAAGGACTCAAACCCGCGCAGGACGATGACGGTCGTAGGTACCGTGCGGCTTCGATGAGAAGGCAGAACAATAGCAGTAGCACTAGAGCAGCTGAAGCGAAATCAACAAAAATACTGAGATATGACAGCTTGAAATTTGTTTACATACATCACACTGGAACACACACACACACACCCACAGACAGGCACATACAAAAAAAACAGTAACGAACAAACCCCCCCTCTCCTTACGACAGGGCAAACATCGCAAAGCCTGCAGAGTTCCCGCGTGTTGGATTTTTTGTTGAATATTTATAGAAAGCATTAACGTTAACCGATTAGAAAAAAAAATGTAAACAGGAGGTTCCCTGGTTTGGCAACTCGCTCGTACTATTTTTGTTTTCTCTCGATTAGTCAAATGTGTTCGGTTTGTTTTCGATAATCAGATCAGAATTCTCTTTTGTTTCGTTTCTCCGGAGTGGTATAGAGCTATTTAATTTTACTCAGACATACACACACACACATACATGCACACCTGCGAAAAAAAAAACAAATGGGTGACGAGTAGTTTTTTTTTATAATTTTTAAGTGTGAGCGAGTGTGAAAGTGCGAAAACTAGCGCGGGCTAAGGATTCCCTTGAAATTAGTAATAGTTGTACAGTTTTCCCTTTTTTCTCGAGGGAAATAAAAGTGTTTTGTTTGTTTTTCCTTTTTAATTAGACTAAATAGGTCTACGGAATATAAGTAGCAGTTAATGGCAGAAATAAGATAGCAATGCAAAATGAAAAAAAAAAAAAACAAAACAGACATCCCGGGAAGTTTGCAATCGATCAAATTACGTACTGTTTAATGTTTCTTATTTTTCTGACGTTTGTTTTGAATCAGGCTTCAGGTGCTGGCTGGCAGGTGGCAGTGCGGTCGTCGAGACAATTTGTACGGCCGATGAGAGTAACTCAGTAGCGGGAGTCGAGCTCAACTCAAAATTGTAAAAAGCGACGCGGAAAATTTTCCTCACTTTGCCGGGAAAAGTAACCGAGTGAAATATCTCTTGATTTTCATCATATTCAAGAATGTATTCCTGGAAAATCGAGAAAAATTTGACTCATTCACTAAGTACTGCACTTTTTGCAATTTTGAGTCAAATTCGACTTAGTTTTGATTGATTCTTATTAACCGTGCGAGCTTTGCCATGCGTTTGTTTAGAGCGATTTTTCTTTCATCTGTTTTTTGGAAATTGTGTTCAAACAGAAAATGTTACATCAAATCTAGATACACATTTCAAAAGGTCCTATCTGCATTGATCGACCCTCTTCATCGATTTTTTCCTTCGTTAATAACTCAGCTGCAAAGCCTCTGCCTGTTGTATTTGATGTTTTGAGAGCCAGTTAAGAAACTCCTTTATCAAACTATGTGGTAAAAAGAGCGTGAACTCTCGCGCAACACGAGAAAAGGGCCTGGGTTGATCGATTCTCGTCATCGATTTTCTCTTTCGCGAATCACCTGCCTGCAAATTAATTTCCCATTCAGTGTGTTATTTCAGCCGCAAGCTAACATCATCTTCTGTCGAAGAAACGAAGCGAGAAACTCGTTTATGTTGCCATCGATGAAGAGGATCGATCAACGAGGATAGGCCCTTTTCAAATGTTATGCGAGTTACTCTGTTTGCATAGTAGTGGTTATCAAAAGAGAAAGTCGATGAAGAGAATCGATCAAAGCAGATAAGATCGCTTTGAAATGTTGATCAAGATATGTTAATGCTGTCAAACCGATACGATCAAGTTGAGGTAGTGCTGTGAATTAATTCAACTTACTTAAATGTTTTGTTATCCTTCGAGGCTTTTTAAACTCGAAAATTATGGCCTGAAATCATCCTCCAAGCTGCTGTTCCGCTGTTCGAACTCAACTCGATCAGGGGAATCAGTTGTGAAATGTTCTTGCTTGCCAAGTCAGTTTATTTTGAGCTTGAGAAAAAGACGGAAAAATGGGAAAATCCTGTGAAAATCATACTTTAACCATGCAAACATGTAATTCATTGAAATTATATATGTAAATAGTCCAATAGTCGTAAGCATATGAGGGAAAGAAACAAACAGAGAAACGAAAGTATATTTACACAAACAGACTTGCTTGAAAGGAATTTGACTCTCCCCTAAAGAAATGTAATACAAAGTGTACAAGGAACGGTGAAGCTAGCGAGGGCAAAAGTTTAAAAACATTATCACTGTAGATTAACTAATTTATTCTCCCCCCAAAATCGATTTGCTAGTCGATTTTTGTTCTGGAATTTGTGGGACAAAAATCCGCTTCCGGCAGCTATCCTCTAGAGGTTTCTCAATTCGTTCTCGCTGCCATCTCCCGGCCCGGGGAACAGCTTTATCCTGCTTAGAGCCATGCAGCGGCCGCAGCCTTCAATAATTAACTCGTTCATGGCCATTTCAGTCACCCAAACTCACACGAACTCCTGAATTGAACAAGCGATTTACATTAAAAAAAAAAAACAACCTTCAAACACAAACGTTAAAATTATTAACCATAACAACACCACACAGAGTAGAATGCTCGCGAAAATGTTGTTGAGTCCTGTAGTGATGCAAATTGAAATGGAAAACGAGAATAGGATTAGCCAAGCGTGCGCCCGCGAAGGAAGCGAGTTGAACAAAGCAAACCGAGTAAATCGTTAACTAATTGAATGATTATTAAGCAAACAAGCAAAACACATTAGTCTGATTCAAAAACCGTAGTGATAGTACCAAGATTGAATAATAAAAAAAAAAAAACAATGAGAGAAAACACGTAGTTGATATTGAGATAAGAGAAAAAAAAAAGGCAAAAACAATATTATTAGTGATTAATGAACAAAGAAGAGGAAGAAACCTAATCAAAACAAACGACTTGATTGTGAAGCAAGTGTAGAGAACCCACTTAAAACCTGTGTAAAAAGTATATTATTACAAGCGATACGAGTTAGGAGAGAGAGATAATCCCGCGTCCTTATTTTTAATTTTTATTCCTTATTGTTTCTGGGTGGAAGATGTGGCAGAAGAAAAAAAATGTTGGTTGAGTGATACCCCCCCTCCCCGTCAAAACTCACTTCGTAGACTCGTAAAAGGAAATGATGTTACCGGTAAAATTTACCCTGTAGTATGTATAGTAGCCAAGTCAAGCCGAAACCCATCCAATCATATGAGTTCACAATCCTAAGAAACGGAAAAGGAAAATGTAAAATTAGGACCGATGGAATTGCGATTCCATCGTTCAAATTACGTCAAATCTCCCGACGACCATTGAGTTTTTGTTTGTATTTGTTATTCTTGTTTGGAAGGAGCAAATCGAAATACCGCGAAGAAGGAAATTTAGTAAACTTGCACCTAGTTATCCGAACACCCACACTTACTCAAACACACACACACACACACACACATACAATATGGTACCACAAATCGATCTAAACCACACTCCTATTGTTTCACGCTTCAATCAAACTGTTTTCATGGAATCAAGCGAAGCTTCTTCTTGTTTTTTTCCTATTCCCGGAAAACAATTCGTCTGTTTTTCTCTTCTTCTACCTTCATTATCTTAAATAATGGCTATTAGTAACGGTTAGGTGTTGAATTTCGTTTTTAGTAAGACAACAAAACAGAGCAAAACCGCAAACAAATAAAAGGAATCATATTTACGCCTGATTTTTTCTTATTTAGTTTGTTTCTTCTTTCCCGCATCGATAGAGTTCTATTTCTTTTTCTTTTGCATATTTCATTCTACAATTCCTGCCTTAAAGTTTCTCTTCGCTTCCGATTTTTTTTTTCATACTTACACGAACAGAAAACGGTCAAATTGGTTCTCTTATTTTCCCAGCGAATGCGCACCGAATTACAGCAGCAGAATTGGAACATTTTTGTTAAACCCCGAATGATAATGGCGGAAAATAGTAATACGTCTATTGAGCATAACAAAACAAAGCAATGAACACGATGAGATAGAGGAAATTTGTTTCTTGTTATCATTATTATTATAATATTATAATTTTTTTTTCTCTGTGAAGTAATGCCACAAACAATTACTTTATTGCTATTATTTTTTTTTTTTGAAAATAAAAACGTAAAACAATAAGTTTAGTTGGCCGGTTTGTGTTGTGTTCTTTATTTTTTTTTATATTTTTCTGTAGGTTTAAGTTCTTCTTTCGAAACTGTCCTTTCCTGTGTTGAGTTGCCTTTATTTAGTATCCGTTTGGATTTTTTCACTATGTTACTTTCTGTTTGAAAAGAAACTGGTTTGATGGATGCTCTTGGTCGTTTGTGTCTTGAGGCAACTGTCATTTCCTGAAAACGGGAAATGGCTTTGCGCTTAGTTCAATTTTAACTGGTGAGCATGTTCAATGAGCAATGTTTTTCGCTTCGGAGCTTCATCACAGTATGTAATTCTCAGACGAACTACGCTTTTTTCCTTAAATGAAACTACATCCTCACAGCAATATCTCCATAGCCGACGCCGGTGGTGTAGTGGTAAGCGTGACTGCTTTCTAATACCCCGATGGGTCTGGGTTCAATCCCAGCTGAGGTCGTTGGGATTTTTCTGAGGCATAAAAATCTCTGGTCACGTCTTCCTTCGGAAGGGAAGTACAGCCGTTGGTCCCGGCCCATGTGTGTTGTTGAATGGGTGCGATATCCTCACGCAGGTGTGGAAGCTGCCTTCCTGCACATTCGATTGCCGTCAATGGATGGCAATCGATGTCCGTCGGTGATTGGCACTAGATTGCGGAACAGAGACCGACGTTAAATAAAGGAAAAAAAAGTAGCAATATCTCCCGGCTCTAACAATAGGCAAAACCAAACACTTTATTATAAGAATATACGCGGGCTACGCACCAAAACTAACGAAGTGTTCCTAGCACTATCGCAATGTGACTACAATGTAGTAGTTTTTACCGAAACCTGGCTCGGTCCCGATATCGCAAATTCGGAATTATCGCACAACTACACGAACTATCGCTGTGATTGCAACGCCCCAACAAGCCTATTCCAACGTGGTGGAGGTGTTTTGATCGGGGACAGAAATGTTTTGAATAGTGCCGCTGTCTCGATTACAGACAGTGAGTGTTTGGAGCAAACAATGGTCCGAATCAAGCTAGTCACTTTTGAGCTGTACAGTGTACCTCCCACCCAATTGCGACAATGCATTGTATGAACGAACAGCACTGGGCATGCGTTCAAAGGCTGTTGTAACAAGCCGGTAATCGTGATATGATGAATTACGGTGCTTGCTACCCACAAATGCTTCATCTGAACAGGAGTATACTGTGGTTTAATCGTTCATTGCCAATGGTCTGTATTACATGAATCACTATGCCAATGCGAAGGGAAGGATCCTGGATTTGGTTTTCACTAGTGATACCGATGGTCTCGTGCTTATGGAGCGTATTGATCAACATCATAACCCGCTAGTGCTGGTGATTGGAACTGAAAGTGAAAGAGATATTGTGCGTGTAGCAGATCCATTCGACTTTGACTTCAATCAATGTGACTTTGCTATTTGGAAATCAATGATTAGCAATGTCTGCTGGGAGAACCTTCTAGTTGATTGCAGTATTGATGAAGCCGTTTCGATCTTCTACAACAAGCTGTATGGTTTCATCAGTGAAGTCGTGCCTTTGAAGCAGTGGGTCGACGTCCACAGGAAAAGACAACCTTGGTGGAACAATGAGCTCCAAAGGCTCCGTAATCGCCTACGCAGGGCAAGGAAACGTTACCTTCGGTCTAGAAATGAACAGCACAAGGCTTTCGCAGTTACATCCATCGCACTGAAGCAAGTCTGAAACAGGGCCCGAAACTGTTTTGGGCTTATGTGAAAAATCGAAAGCGGACCAGTGGTCTTCCTCAACACTTTCGTTACCAGGGAGAAACAGCTGAATCACCATCAGACTCTGCAAACCTGTTCTCGTCGTTCTTTCGGAGTGTGCAAAGTAATAACCGACCTTTGACTGAATCGCGCTTGACCAGTTTGCCACATTACGACTTGAACGTGACTGTTTACAACTTCTCTCCTCATGGTGTTCGCACTAAACTTGAGTCCATAGACACTTCAAAGTGAGCAGGTCCTGATCGTTTACCTCCATTCTTTATGAAACAATGTGCGGAGTCAGTTGCCTTACCTGCAAGTAGGCTTTTCAATAGATCGTTAGCGGAGGGCATTTTTCCTAGTGAATGGAAAACCAACCGGTGAACACTCGTGTTTATTTCAGTTACCGTGGGGACGTAATTTGTGATTATCCCCGGTCCCTTTCAAATTGTATCATTATATATGTACGGTCCTTACATTTGAAATGACGTTTCACATTCATCTAGTGATGGCCAATTTTCATTCGAATAATCGATTAATCGATTAACGAATCAATAAGTAAAATTTGTATTTGTAATCGGTTATATCATGCCGATATAAGCATTAACTTCTCCAGACGATCATCAACCATCGTTTCAAACATATGCTGCACTCTCATTGGTGGAAAAATGACAGCACAGCAAACAAAAAATAATCGATTAAATGTTAATCGAATAATTAAAAAAATTGGGACATATCTGATTTTGGTGTTATTGTTTTGATAAAAGAGAGCGCAAAATTTCACCTCTTTCCAGTAAAACCACAAAATTACCTTGCATACGGGGGGTATTCATTGGATGAAAGGGACCGTGAAAAAGGACACCAAAATAGAAAGTTTTTCTTCCGACAGTTTCATCTTACTATTCATCTTTGGGAAAACTGCAGCTATCACTCCCATTTATAAAACTGGTAGTGTTAACGATATTGAAAATTACCGAGCAAATTCCATTTTGTGTTGCTTTCTCAAAGTTTTGGAAAGTCTTATCCATGATTCGCTGTACCGTAACGTCCATCATGTGATATCAGAGAGTCAACACGAATTCGTAAGGAAACGGTCCAAAACAACCAACTTGATGTGTTACGTTAATTCGCTCGTGAATAGTCTGGAAAAACGTCAACAGGTCGATGCAGTATATGTTGACTTCTCCAAATCATTCGACAAAGTTCCACTTTTTTTTTGCAGGGGGCAATCTGCTCCCAGACACCTGAGAAGATAACTCAGGGTGTGGGGATGGGAGAAGTAGCGCTCCCGACCCACTAAACCTTACCCTGCGCCCTTAAGCATTACATCATGGGAGGGGGCCGGTTGCGCTATGGCTCATCACACTAGTGGTGTGTCACAGACGTGACACTCGCTACGGCACAGTGAGCAGCTGTGCAGGGCCTTCCTCTTATCGTTCGCCGTTAATTGTTCGCCTGAGTTCTAGAGCAGACGTGATAGCAAGCCAACTGTCCACGGCAGGACAGGACAGATGTGACTGCGTACCAGCTGCGTGTGCTGCGAGTTGGTCAGATTCGTCTACACTCTAAGAGCCCGGTGTCACTTCTGCCTTTGCACAACGAGGGTTTGTGCAGGGCTTATCGACCTCCTGGGACAAGCTGGCTGGGGCTCCCGCGTCCTTACTCTGCTGTAATTCGTTTAGCCGCAATATCTCTCCCTTGGGTTCGATAATTAACGTTTCCAGGGCACACCACCTTAGCTCAGTCGATAAAGGCGCAGCTACAAAGCAAGACCATGCTGGGTTCGATTCCCGGGCCGGTCTAGGAATTTTTCGGTTTGGAAAATTTCTCGACTTCCCTGCAAAAATGCAAAAATGGTACAGGCATCGAAAGCTCTTAATTAATAACTGTGGAAGTGCATCTAGAACACTAAGTTGAGAGCACGCAATAAGCTAATATGCGATATGCAATAAGCTTGGAATGCGAAGATGAAGAAGAAGAAGAAGAAGAAGAAGAAGAAGGGCACACCACGAGGAGGCGAACTACTTCATGCCCCCCAACACGCATTGGCTGTGGAAACACTCAAACGTATGGGATTCCCGGAGTGGCTTTCTCGGTGGATTGAATCATACTTATCTGACCGCAGTGCTTTTGTGCGCCTTGGTGGATCCTGCTCTGAAATGTTCTCTATTACTTCCGGGGTGCCTCAAGGGAGTCACTTAGGACCACTACTTTTCGTACTGTTTGGGAACGATCTTTGCGTATTCATCAAATCACCGAAGTATATGTTCGCTGATGACCTGACATTCTTTCGTATAATCACCCCAATGGAGGATTGTTGTGCTCTCCAATTGGACATCGACTCTCTCCTTGAATGGTGCTCATTGAACGGAATGGAAGTGAACATTCGCAAATGTAACGTTATTTCATTCAACCGATCGAGGACAACTGCAATTTTCGAGTACAAGATGTTTTCTTCAAATGTTAACCGAGTGTCATCAATCAAGGATCTGGGTGTAATTCTTGACAGCAAGCTGACATTTACCAATCACATAGCAGCAACAACCACCAAAGCCTACGCGATACTTGGATTTATCAAACGCAACACGCAACAGTTCAAGGATGTCTATTGCCATAAATCAATGTATTGTTCTCCTTATGGGCGCCTTATCATGTCACGCTTTGCTTTCGCATTGAAAAGATTCACCGAAACTTTGTTAGTTACGCTCCATACGGCTGTTACCCTGGAATAACCCGGTTGTTCTTCCCCCATACGAGAACCGCTGTGTTTTGATTGACCTTGGCACATTGGCGGATAGGAGGATACTTCTGCAACGGATGTTCATATTTGACATTCTGAACCAAAATATGGATTGTTTTTTTTTTTTTTATTATAGTAACTTTAACACTCTTGGGTCATTCGTGACTTGTCCGGGGATGAGATTTGAACTCGTGACTTTGGCGTGAGAGGTATGGATGTTAACCACTGCGCCGGGGTCGCCCCCAATATATGGATTGTGCTGAACTTCTTGGCAAAGTTAATTTCAATGCTCCGGTTAGACAGACACGCCAGAATGATCTTCTTCGCATTCCTCAACATGGAACACTCTACGGGCAAAATAATCCGCTTGATGTTTGTTGCCAGCGATTAAACGAGTCTCGTGACAACTACGATTTTAACGTCATGAGTCAACTACGATTTTAACGTCATGAGTCAACAATTGCAAGATTACAATCTAGTGCAGCGATTGCCAACAAGTTTAGATTCCACCGTTTTATACCCAAGCAACATTGAAGGTTTTATC